TAAACCATGTTGTGTAAGCAGATGTGCTGTCATCCAGGCTTTGTTGTTCCATTTACAGAGCACAGGCAGAAGAGATTTTGCATAGTTCTGAAGGGCCCTAGGATTTTTGGAATGGTAAATGAACATTGGTTTCAACTAACAGTCACCAGCTACATTATTCTTTGATAAGAGAGTCAGCCTGTCCCTTAAAGCTTTGAAGCCAGGCACTGACTTCTGTAGCTATGAAAGTCCTAGATGGCATCTTCTTTCAATATACGGCTATTTTGACTGCATTGAAAATCTTTTGTTTAGTGGAGCCACCTTCATTATTGATCTGAGCTAGATCTTCTGGATAACTTGCTGCAGCTTCTACATCAGCACTTGCTGCTTCACCTTGCACTTTTCTGTTATGGATATGGCTTATTTCCTTAAATCCCATGAACCAACCTCTGTTAGCTTCAGACTTTTCCTTCTGCAGCTTCCCCACCTCTCTCAGCCTTCAGAGAATTGGTAACAGTTGAGCCTTGCTCTGAATTAGACTTTGGCTTAAAGGAATGTTGTGGCTGGTTTGATCTATCTAGACCACTAAAACTTTCTTCATATCAGCAATAAAGCTCTTTCTTATCATTTGTGTGTTTCATGTGTGATGGCACTTTTAATTACCTTCAAGAAATTTTCCTTTATTCACAAGTTGGCTCTTTGGTGCAAGAGGCCTAGTTTTTGACCTGTCTTGGCTTTTGACATGCCTTCCTCAATAAGCTTAAATCATTTCTAGCTTTTGATTTAAAATGAGAGACATGCGACTCCTCCTTTCACTTAAACAGAGACCATTGTAGGGTTCTTAACCGGCCTAATTTCAGTTTTGTTGTGTCTCAGGGAATAGGGCCTGAGGAGGAGGGAGAGAGATGGGGGGACGGCCAGTCAGTAAAGCGGTCGCTGTCTTATTTGGGTACAGTTCATGGTGTCCCAAAACAATTGCACTAGTAACATCAAAGAGCACTGATCATCATAACAAATATAATAATGAGAAATTTTGAAATACTGTGAGAATTACCAAAATGTGACACAGAGAGAAGAGCAAATGTTGTTAGAAAAATGGTGCTGATAGACTTACTCTTGGCAGGGTTGCCTCAAACCTTCAGTTTGTAAAAAATGCAGCTACTGGTGAAGCATAATATCTGTGAAATGCAATAAAGTGAAGTGCAATAAAATGATGTGTGCCAGTATACAAGGTAACAAGCCATAGGCTAAACCACCATAACAAAGAGATGTCACATACAGTTGCTAGAACAAAATAAAAGTTTCTCTCTTGAGTAGCAAGTCCGGAGGTTAAGCCGCTCTGTTCTGTTCCATTATGTCATCCAGGATTCTCCTTTCCTTTTATCTTTTAAGTTTTGCCAGTCCCTCTGGTGGTGGTGTCTGTGTATTTGAACCTGGCTCTTAAGAGACTGAAAGAGGAAGTGGAGAGCAAGCAGCTTACTTATAAAGGCATGCTTTGGAAATTGCATATGTCACTTATACTAACATCTCATTGGCCAGAACTTAGTTCCAGACCACACTTGGCTGCCAAGGAGCCTCGCTTATTGGCTATATGCCCAGGAAGTTCTGTTTCTAAAAAGAAGGGTAGAATTAGTAGTTTGCTTGTTTGGCATTGGTGTCACACAGTTGGTACATGTTGAATTTCTGGTCATAAATGCTATCCATCTTCTAACTTGTGCTGTTAATTATTTAAATGCATTACGAACAGTAGCATTTATGAACGTTTTTTACACAAGTGATACATAGATACTGTTAATCGGCTTTGCTCTTAGTACTGTTTTTCTTTGGGCACAGTTTATAAAGATTTTATTTATTTGAGAGAGAATGAGATAGCATGAGAGGGGGGAAGGTCAGAGGGAGAAGCAGACTCCCTGCTGAGCAGGGAGCCCGATGTGGGACTTGATCCCGGGACTCCAGGATCATGACCTGAGCCGAAGGCAGTCGCTTAACCAACTGAGCCACCCAGGTGCCCCTTCTTTGGGCACAGTTTAATGTCTGATTATTTCATTCTTTCTAGACGCAGGATAAGTTATAAATTTATAATACATTTTTTAAATAAAAAGTAATTCAACAGTTTCCTCTTTTTAGGTTAACTTTCTCTTGCCAAATAGGAAAGGATGCTTTATATTTATTCATGTCACATATTAATTATCCCAGGTGTTTGCATTTTAAGTTGTCTTCAGGCTCAGTGCTATCGATTAAATTATTGCTAATTGTTTAAATTAGGTAACTTCAAGCACTGTGATATAAAAATATTCTGTCTTTGTAAAATTTAAAGTAGTTTGAATTCCTTCAAATTAATGATGCAGTAAGAGTTGCATAATCTCAAAGCTAGCAAAAGTGGCATGTGGCAGTGTCCCTTTTCAGGATTAGTCTTGAGTTCTGTAAGCTTTAAATTGTGATGTGTCTCTAAGATAGTTCTCATATAAAATGCTACTATTCTGTATTTTTGAAAGTTTGTCTTGGTAAAGGAACTTCTGATAATTGGGAATAGTTGGGGGGAGTGTTGTGGGGGGACTGATATTTATTATCTCTGAAAGCATGCCATTCTCAGAACTGGTATTGAAGGTTAATTAATCTGCTTTAGTTGTTTTAGGGTGCTTGGCCTAGAAAGGTTAGAATAATGCTTAGAAAAGCTTTCCTAAGTAGAAAAGCTTTCCTTATCTTTGTATCCCATGATCATTATCTTTCCTGCTGTCCCCCCCGGCTTTTCATAGCATGATGATTATACAAATGAATGGAAGGTAACTCATAAAAATATATGCAAGGTGACTTTTGTCCTGGGTGGTTGCTGCTTAATGACCCTATAAGGTGATCTTGGGAAAGATACGTAAGGAAGTAAGAAATCCCTGATTTTTTCTTTGTGTATTGTGTGTGAATAGGGGTGCCTATTAAATAGTCTACGAAAAAAAAAGTGGGTTCTGAAAATGCTGCTAGAGAACTAATAGTAAAAAACTGTGTAAGAAATACTAGATTGTCATTTATGCCTTATTGAGGCAAAATAGGTGGTATTTAAAACAACAATTAAATCTTTTTTTTAAGATTTATTATTTTATTTATTTATTTATTAAGGTTTTTTTTTTTTTTTTTAAAGATTTTATTTATTTATTTGAGACAGAGTGAGAAAGAGAGAGAGCACAAGCACAAGACGGGGGAGCAGGAGAGGGAGGAGCAGACTCCCTGCTGAGCAGGGAGCCCGATGCGGGACTCAGTCCCGGAACTCCAGGATTGTGACCTGAGCCGAAGGCAGTCGCTTAACCAGCTGAGCCACCCAGGCGCCCTATTTATTTATTTGACAGAGACACAGCAAGAGAGGGAACACAAGCAGAGGGAGTGGGAGAGGGAGAAGCAGGCTTCCCGCCGAGTAGGGAGCCTGATGCAGGGCTTGATCCTAGGACCCTGAGATCATGACCTGAGCTGAAGGCAGACACCTAACGACTGAGCCACCCAGGCGCCCCTAAGATTTATTATTTTAGAGACAGAGTGCGCATGTGATGGGGACAGAGAGAGAGGGAGAGAGAGCATCTCAAGCAGACTCTCCACTGAGTATGGAGCCTGACTCTGAGATCATGACCTGAGCTGAAATCAAGAGTTGGTCGCTTAACCTCCTGAGCCACCCAGGCACCCCTATATTAGGCTTTTCAATCTAATCCGCACCTTACCTAAGGTAGAGAATGCTTGGTTACTGATCCAAGGTGGAAATTCTGGTTAGAATTAAGCATTTTTAGTCTAGTCTTCTGTATGCACAGATCTGTCTTTATTCTTGAGAACATTAATTTTAAATCAGAAGTGGGAAGGGTGCCTGGGTGGCTCAGGGTCTGCCTTTTAGCTCAGGTCATGATCTGGAGTCCCAGGATGGAGTCCCACATCGGGCTCCCTGCTCAGCAGGGAGCCTGCTTCTCCCTCTGCCCGTTACCCCACTCATGCTCTCTCACTCTCTCAAATAAAAATCTTAAAAAAAAAACAAAACTGGAGGTGGGAATATAAGAAAATACAAGAAGTGACTTAGAAGAATAATATCAGATTGTGTCAAATCAATTGGTAGACTCCATTTTTTTGTTTGTTTTTTAAATTTTTTATTTAAATTCCAGTTAGCATACAGTGTAATATTAGTTTCAGGTCTACTAGTAGATTCCATTTGAATGCTAGGATTCTCTGGGCTACAGATTGGTATAAAATATGCCTTAAGTTCACTAGAGAGTTGATAGAAAATGTCTGTGTGCTTGCAAGTAACATTAGATTTCAGAAAAGGAAAAGATCATGAAGGGTGATCAGGAAGGCTTCCAGAAGAAAAGTCTTGAACTGATCTTTGAAAGATAAGATTTGGATTGACAGAAGAGGACATTTCAAGTAGGGCAGATTTAAGAGAAAAATCATTGCAAGTAGAAGTAAGTTTGGCATAAATTGGGTAGATAAAAAGATCAGTTTGCCTGGGGTAGAGGATCTTATATGCAAGTAACTGGGAGGGAGATTGGGATTGCCAACAGTCTAGCCTGGTATCTGGCCTGATGTGAAGGTTTTCACTAGGGAGTACAAAATGGTTGTGGAAGATTAATCTGACCATGGTTTTTTTTTTTTCCTCCTTTTCTCTGCCCTGCCAGTTTTACTGTTTATTTACTGATTTTTTGTCCTAAATGAAGATCACTTTGTTGTTGTTGTTGTTATTTTTAGTGTTTACAAAGTACAAAAATCATCATTCTCAGAGAAGTTTAAGTATATCTTAATGTCTTCAGTGTTTCTTTGAGATTTTGGGGTCATAGATTAACTTGCTCTTTGAAATTTCTGTTTGTGGCACTTACCACGTTAATGTGTTTGTCAGAGTGCTAAGGCAACTTTCTGTAACTGTGGACTTTATACAAGGTACTGACCGTTGAGTTCTTAGTATGTAGAAGAAATAGCAACAATGGAAACAATATTTTAATTCTTTAATTATATTATAGTGTACTTCAGTCCTTTCTCCCCCCTCTTCCGTTTTATCTCAGGTCAACAGGACATACTGCTGTGGCACCTACCGAGCAGGTCCCATGCGGCAGATAAGTCTTGTTGGAGCAGTAGATGAAGAAGTTGGTGATTATTTCCCAGAGTTCCTTGATATGTTAGAAGAATCACCATTTCTGAAAGTGAGTGTTAATTCCAATTATTAAAGTTCTGATCATTACTTTAGTGGGCACTTTCTATTAAAAAGTATTAATATTAAATTAATCTTGTCTATTAAAATTAAATTTTATCCAGTGTTTTGAATAGAAATGTTTAGAAAATTATTGGTTCAGAATAACAGAAATAACAGAAAATTATTGGTTCAGAATTTTACATATAACTCTCTAATACAGCATTTATTTCTTCATATGCATATACAAAATAAACTTCCTAGAGCTTTCTTTTGGTTTGGGGTAGTAGAGAGGTTAACTTGTAAATAGACAAAAAAATTTTTTTTTCATGTGACTCATTCATCTGATTTCTAGATGACTTTGCCCTGGGGTACGCTTTCCAGCCTCCGACTCCAGTGTAGGTCCCAGAGTGATGATGGGCCGATCATGTGGGTAAGGCCAGGAGAGCAGATGATCCCTACAGCAGATATGCCAAAGTCACCCTTCAAAAGACGACGGTAAACATTTATTTTTCCCAAATAAGGAAAAGCACTTTTTAAAAGTTTGGTTGCTTATAAAAATGATTGAGACCTGAGCGCAGTTTGAAAACTATTTGTCTAGATTATTTGAAGAGCTATCTTAAGTAAATCTTCAGTGGTCAGTTTCTTAAGAGTCCAGTCTACTCATTACAGAGTCATCAGAGTGAGGCATCCTTCTAAAAAAACAAATTTAATTTTTTCCTATTTTCTTAAAACCTGGGTCCTAACTGCCTGCAAGATTAAAGTCTAAACTCCTTTGTGTGGTTACAAGGATCTTTCATAATCTGGCCCCAACAGTACCTCCAGCTGGATCTGTTTCTAGTCTGTGCCAGCCACGCAGAGGTCAGTTTTCAAATGTGATCTTTCACAGCTCTGTGCTTTTGCACTGTTCTTTTTACTTAGAATGGCATCCCCTCCCCCATCTTCCTTTCTACCTGACAAACTCTTAATAAATTTTCAAAAAAATAAACTTGGATGTCACTTCCTTTGTGAAGCTTTTCTTTGTTCCCATAGACAATTAATTTATTCCCTTCTCTGTGTTCACACATCATTCTGTTCATTAATGACCTGTTTACATGTTTTTGTTTTTTACTAAATTTTGAGTTCTCAGGACAGTGACTGTGTTTTATTCTCAGTCTTCATGACCCACATAGACAGGTGATTAGTAGTGTTTGCTGAATGAAACCGATAATGTATATCTCCTATAGTAATTCATATTGGGCCAACATATTCTGTGTTTCAGACACTTAAAACGAATGTAGATTAATTTATTCTGGTACTCTGAAAAAAATCTCATTTTAATAAGAGTGAAAATGATTTATATTTGCTTAGACTATGGAAGTTACCCCAAATAAGTATCCAGAAGTGAGTGTGTTTGTTTATTTATTTTAAAAAGATTTTATTTATTTATTAGAGAGAGAGAGCAAGAGAAAGCACGAGCAAGGGGAGGGGAGAGGGAGAGCGAGAAGCAAACTCTCCGCTGAGGAAGGAGCCGAGGTGGGGCTTGATCCCAGGACCCTTAGCTTAACCGACTGAGCTACCCAGGTGCCTCCAGAAATGAGTTTTAATGGACTAGTCTAGACCTTACCTTAAAGCTTATAGGGGAATGATGCTAAAGCTAAATTTGGAATAACCTTAGGTACTTGAGATACTGCATGAAAATACTTTGTAAAAAACTATATATGAATGCAGGGTGATGGCATGGTAGAACCTGGCAGTAAACTACCTCTGCACACTGCTTAGACCACGGCAGTTTTTGTATATCATGATGATGAGTCTGGAAATCCTAAATTCTTAAGTACTGTATACATTTTTTTGTTCTATAATTTTTCCAAAAAGGAAATGACCATTGTTTGTTTCCTGATTGTTACAAACTTTTAGAAAAATCAGGTAATAGAAAAAAGTAAAAAGAAGGCAAAAAATACCCATAATCCCACCTATTTAGGCATATTAACCTTTCAAATTTCAGTCTGTATTATACTCCTAAATTTTGTACACAAATGAACTCATTCTTTACATGATGTTTACTTTAAAACTTGGAGTTTTTTTTTTTAACCCCTTAAGTTTTAATGTGTTATATTAAGATGCAGCTATATCATAATTTCTGAATGACTATGTTCTCACTGAATGGTTGTATCAAGATTTACTTAACCAATTCTTTTTTAGTGTAAGTTGCTTCCAGTTTTTCAATGTAAATAGGACTTCGACAAACATGACAGTGGTATGCTGGAGCCAGGCTCCCAGGGCCATTATTAGCCTCCCAATGCCACATTGAACGTGGTCACATTAGTTGCTTGAAATTGGCCATGTTGGGAGTATTTATACCACAGAAATAAGCAGATCAGCTACAATCAGCTATCTTCCCCTGAAGCCAGTTGTTAGGAATGTTTAACACATCACTGATTGTGGGTAGCTGGCTGGCTGGCTGGTTGGTAGGTAGGTGGATATATGTATCTTTGTGCATATGCATGTTTATTGTCTTAGTAGAAATTTTAAAGGTGCAGAGTATATACACATTTCTAACTTGATCCAGGACTATACCAGTTTATACTCCCACCCAAATAGTTAAGACAGTACCCTTTTCTCATACCCTCCATTAACTTTTTTTTTTTAAACTTTGTTGATCTGATTGGACAGAGATGTCTCATTTTGGTTAGTTCTTCTTTGAGGGGTTTGTATTTCTTCTTTGTGATTCCTTTTTCATTTTATCCATATGTTTACTAGGCTGTTTTTCATTTAAAATTTCTCTTTTTTTAGGACTATTAACTTTTTTATTTTGCAAATTTTCCTGCTCATTTTTTTTCTTTCAGCTTCAGTTTTTTCTTTACTCACAGTTTTTGTTTTTTGTTTTTTTTTCTTCTCAGTTTATTTTTCTTTACACACAGATCTATCTTTTCCTCTGAGGTTTCTCTCCTAGTGGCTGACTTAGAAACGCCCTTCTCTCATTGAGTATTACAAAATATTCATCTACATTTTATCCTAGTACTTTTGTGATTTCAGTATTTACATGTTTTACTTACCTGGTATTGATTTCAGGACAGAGGCAGGCATTCATCATTTTTTCCAAGTAGTTAGGCAGCTGTACCAACATCATTTACTTAATGTATTTTTTCTCCACTAATCTGAGGGGCTGTCAAATTTTATTTTTATTGAGGTTAAATACTCTTGAGTGAGGCATTCAAAAGCACTTTGAATTAGAGTGAGTAAATCAGAACTTAAACATTAATGTCATCTTTTTGTGTTAATGAGAACTCTGTATTGCTGAAAATGGTGGAATCAATGTGAGAAGCTCGTTATCAAGGGCACTGCTAATGAAGATGATCTTTGAATTTATGTACTTTAGAGTTAAATACATGCACAGGGTTTTAAAAAATCAAATGGTACAGTAGGGTTTGTAATGAAAAATCCTACCCACCTTTCCCTCCTTTTTACCAGAGACAAAAGACCATTTCTGTTTTTTAATGCCTTTTGTTTGAGGACTGTGGCAGGAAACTTGTCAGTTTCTTGGTATGATAGATAGGGACTCCTTCCTGTTCTCCAGTTAAATGACCCTTTCTTTACCCTCTTGTTCGCCCTTTCAGCTTTTTGCCAGCTTTGCTTATACATTGTTGAGGTTAATTCATATTCTGCTTTAAAATTAGGTTTTATATGCTTTGTCAATAGGTCTATTCTACAATTTGAAAGTCAGTAAATGGCATTTATAATATTATGGGAAGGTAAGTTTACTGCAGAGCTAACCAGTGGGCTAAAAATTTGTATCCTAAAGTTCCAATGTTATGTTAATGTTCAAAGGGATAATATACAAAAGGATCATTCTTTCCTATATTTCACCTAGATGTTGAAAATCATGCACATTTTAATTAGTTTCATGTTTGGATTGTGCTGTTTTTTTTGTTTTAAGAAAATTGTTCTATTTTCCCTGCAGTTTCTGATTTACCCCTCTTTTGAAGGGGGACATACACTTTTCTTGACCATATCCCTAATAGTTTGTATTCTTTTTTGCTCCAAATACATTTCTTTCTTCTAGAATCATACTTTCTACCCTATGACTATGACTTTAGCTTTTTTAATTTGTCTTTTTTTTTTTTTTTTTTTGAGAATATTGATAGTTACCTTGGATTCTGTGCTTTTATCAGATCCTCAAGAATCCAGAACTTTAATCATACTGTCTACTAACACATCATTTTTTTTACCTGGAAATCTTTTGGAGCTCTGTGTTCTCTTCAGTGTGAAAAGCTTTACTTCACAGTTACCAACCCAGGACTTCCCACTTAATGCATTTTTACATTAACCTACAGTTGTCTTCTTCCTAGGCTTATTGCCTTCTCTTGCTTTAGCACATTCTCAGGCAATATTCTAACAAAAGGAAGGTATTCTGAATCATTATATGTCTGAAAAATTTTTTCTCATTAAATAGGATTGATAGTTTAGCTGGATTCCAGAGGATATATTTTCCCTAAATACTTTTAGCATTGCTCCAGTGTCTTCTGGTATGTAATATTGTTTATGAGATGTCTTAATGCCAGTTTAATTTTGGGGTTTTTTTGTAGGTAATCTTTTTTCTTTTCCTCTCTGAAAGCTTAATTTCACAATGATGATTTGGGTCTTTCATTCTTTTTTTTTTTTTTTTTTTTTAATTTATTTGACAGAGAGAGACACGGCAAGAGAGGGAACACAAGCAGGGGGAGTGAGAGAGGGAGAAGCAGGCTTCCCGCTGAGCAGGGAGCCCGATGTGGGGCTTGATCCGAGGACCCTGGGATCATGACCTGAGCTGAAGGCAGACGCTTAATGACTGAGCCACCTAGGCGCCCCTGGGTCTTTCATTCTTATTCTTATATTTAATCTTTTTTGTTGTTTGGTAGGTCCCTTAAATTTTAAAGATTCGTGTCTCCTTTTCTGGGAATTTTTCTTGCTTAATTTCTTTGGTAATCTCTTCATTTTCGTTGTTATTTCTTTCTGAAACCACTGTTGGTTGAGTAATAGATCTCTCATTTTGATTATTCTCATATTTCCTATTATCTTTTTGCTTTTGATTTTGGGACATTCACTTGATTTTTGTCTTTTAACCTTTCTTTTGAATTCTTACATTTCAGCATTGTTTATTTTGGTCTTTGTCAGGCTGCTACAGGCTGTCTTCACATAGTTGGTGATTTGTGGTTGACACATTCATATTTAGAAATAAAGCATTGGGCTTACTGAGCATTCTATATATATTTTATATTTTAGTGAGGCTTGTCACTAGGTAGGTTTCACTATAGAGTTAATAGGCATAGAACTGGACATTAAAGGATATGTCCACATGCTGGAGGATTACATTAGTTCTGTTAATATGGTAAGTTCAGTGTCTTTAGAGAAGAACACACAAGGTTTTGTTTTGTTTTGTTTTGTTTTTTTGCTGAAAGTTTATCAGGATGCTTTTGGCCACAAGCAACAAAAATCTTGATTCAAACTGGTTCATAAAATAAAATGTTACCCCATGTATCAAGAAGTCCAGAAGCTTGACCCTAGGCACTATAGTCAGTGACTCAGTACATTCATCAAAGAATCAGGTCTTTTCCTTTTGTCTGCTCTGTCATTCTCTTTGCCTGTGCTTTGTACTCACGATGGCTTTCTTTATGGTTCCTGGATGATGATTACGGTTCTAGGCATCACATGGATCCGGTTTATATGCAATAGAAGAAAAAACTATCTTTCCTTGTACTTCTCTTTCAGGGCTAGGAGACTTCCCAAGTCTCCTTAAGCAGATTTCCTCTCTTAACTGCTGGCCAGAATCAGTTCATTCTCATTTTTAAATCAGTCACTGGCAAGGGGAATGCACTTACCACAATTTGTCACGATTCATTAGGACTACTTCTGAAGCTTGTAAATGAGATCCTTTACAGGGTAGGAGCAGATACCTAATGAGAATCAGAGTTTTGTCAGGGAAATAAATAGGAGAGATGGATGCTGGGTGGGTCAATCACAGTCTTTCCCATGGGGGTAGATGCCTGACTTCATTTTATCCACAGGGGTGGCAGGTGACTGGTTTATTTGCAGAATTTCACTTTAATTCCCTGTTTCTCAGCCTTACCTCATTTCTGTCTATTATCATTATACTTGGCCTTTTTTCTTTTTTTCTTTCTCTCTTCTCCTCTCCTCTCCGCTCTCCTCTCCTCCTCTCCTCTTCATTTTCTTTTTCATTTTCTTTTGTTCTCCCCCTTTGCATCTTATGCTTCTCTAAGGTCTTTGGGCCGGCCAGCTGCCTTTTTAGTTACCATTCCCTTCATGTGTATTCTAGGCCTGTGGCTTTCTCTGCTCAGTTTATTAGTCTAAGACACTTGTGATCATTTTCCACCTTCCAGAAATTTGTTGATACTATTAACTAATTCATTTCCTTTGTTGGTTCTTACTCATTCCTTTACTATCACCTTTAGATTATTAGATTTAGAAATTTTTGAGCACATGAAAAAGCAGAAGATAATTAATTCTCATGTATTCAGTATCAACAGTTATCACTTCATAGCCAGTTCTGTTTCATCTGTACTCCCATCCATTCGTGCATCTCCCCTCCCTCACCCCTACCATATTAGTTTGAAGCCTTTTACTTTCATTTTAATGTAGAAGGAGATCAAGTACATGCTCACTTTGCCATCAGGTCTTAAATCAGGTCTAGTAGAATGTTTTGAGAGTTAAGATGACTCAGAGTAAAGAAACATACAGCCTTGAACTTTGAATTGTGTTTTCTGAATTTAGTTTTAGAAAACTAAATTTTATATATTCCAACACTACACTTGAGCCGAATCAAAGATATAGCTTCCATATTATCATGACATCCTTAGGGAAGAAGGTAATCATATTAGGCATTACAATATATAGTATGTTAAATGCTAATGATCAAAATCATTGAATCCTTATTAGTCCTGGTCTTATGTAAAATTTGATATTTTAGCAGCCTTTTTCACCTTATTGCTGTTCATACTTTCCCCCCCTTTACTTCACAACCAAATCAACTCCAGATCAATGAATGAAATTAAAAATCTCCAGTACCTACCTCGGACCAGTGAACCCCGTGAAGTCCTCTTTGAAGACAGGACAAGAGCTCATGCCGACCATGTAGGTCAGGGGTTTGACTGGCAGAGTACGGCTGCTGTTGGGGTTTTGAAAGCTGTGCAGTTTGGTGAATGGTAAGTTAAGGGAACTCAACTGCAAGGTTGGTTAATGTTGTCTGAGAAAATGTGGACTCACTTTAAAGATTGAGGACTAACGTTTTTAGGGATTGTGGTAAAATACACGTAACATTAAACTGAAAAATCTTAGTCATTTTAAGTGTACATTTCAGAGGTGTTAAGTATATTTACATTGTTGTGAAGCAGATTTAGAGAACTTTATCTTGCAGAACTGTAACTCTATACCCACTTAACAATAACTCCCTTTCTCCTCTCTCCCCAGCTCCTGGTAACCTTCATTGTACTTTCTGTTTCTGTGAATTTGACTACTTTAAATACTTCATATAAATGGAATCATACAGTAGTTTTTTGTGACTGGCTTATTTTTGCTAGCATAATATCCTCAGGGTTCATCCATATTGTGCCATGTGTTATAATTTCCTTCCTTTTAAGGCTGAATAGTATTCTATTATATGTATATGGTACATTAGCATTCATTCATCAGTGGACACTTGGGTTGCTTCCACCTTTTGGCTGCTGTGAACAAATATCTCTTCATGTCTCTGCTTTCAGTTTTTTGGGTATATACCCAGAAGTGGAATTGCTAGATCATTTGATAATCTTATTTTTAATTTTTGGAGGAACTGCTAATACTATTTTCCATAGTGGCTGCACCCCCCCCCCTTTTTAAAAGATTTTATTTATTTATTTGACAGGAGAGAGGGAACACAAGCAGGGGGAGTGGGAGAGGGAGAAGCAGGCTTCCCGCTGAGCAGGGAGCCCAGTGTGGGGCTTGATCCCAGGACCCTGGGATCATGACCTGAGCTGAAGGCAGACACTTAACAACTGAGCCACCCAGGCGCCCTGTTGCTTCACCCTTTTACATTCAATTGGAACCCAAAGCTCAGAGCATAGAATTTAGCTTATTTAAAAACTGTTTTGTTTTTCATATTTATAACTTCAGGGCCTTCAATATTACTATAGAGTTTGATCTGACCTTATTTAGAAGTATAGTTCAGTCACAGCTCGACAGTATTTCAAGTACATCATTCAGCTTTTTTCTCCCCCCTCTCTACTTTGGAAACTGAAGGCGTGATATTTATGTGGCTGATACGTTTTCTCTCCACTTTGTTCCATCCTGATGATGACATTACAGGGTGGCCTGGAAATGGTGGCGCAGAGTGGTGAGAGGATGCAGATGCAAGTAGTTTAGAATGAAACTGTTTTTAGTCATTGTTACTTTGATTTTGTAACAACTAATCTAATTTTCATTTTTTTAAAAACATGGTGTTTTATTTATTTTTAAAGTCTTGATTAAAAAACGTAAATGTACACTCTTGTTTGTAGGAGCTGTGGGTCTATTTCTAGGCTAGTAGTAGCATTTCTAGGAATAGGAGAAATGAAATTTGTCATCATTTTCCATTATGAGATGCATGTTTCTAAAATCTGATTTTGTTAATCTTAGGAGTGACCAACCTCGCATAACCAAAGATGTGATTTGTTTTCATGCTGAGGATTTTACTGATGTTGTACAGAGACTTCAGTTAGACCTTCATGAACCTCCGGTTTCCCAGGTAAACTCTTGCTTTTTTATTACCTTTCGAGTGAGATAATAGAAATAAGTGCCTGTTACCCATTTTATTTTGCATTTGATCTTATAATTGGATACATGGGATGGTAAATTTAATTTTATTACTATTAAAAGCTGTGTGTGCAGGGTGTCAGAAAGTCATTAAAACAGAGCTTCCCAAGCAGAATGCTTAAAATCACTTTAATCTTTGGGATGCCAGGTGGGCCCAGATGGTCAGAGGGTCTAGGCTGCTCAGTTCTGGCTGGAAGCAGTCTCAGCTGATAACCGCATTGCACTGTGTGTCCTCACATGCAAAAGGTTGAAAGACACAGGAGCAGATAAGTGTTGCCCTTCTGTGTGGCAAAGAATACATTATTGATGCCTAGCTGCATTTTGAAACCGTTGTTTAAATGATTCCTTAGGCCATCCTGACTTTAACCTGTACTTTGTTACTAGAGAGGTAGTAAAATATGAGGACAAGTGTTTCCCAGGCATTACAGGAAATTTTAGAAAGTTGTCTATTATTTAGTATTGCTTGGCTTTCATTTGGCCCTACTACTGTTTTCCTGTGTTAATTCTGATGTTTTATTTTACTAAATTTTTACATATTTTAAAGTGTCATGCAACTTTCTTTTCCCTGCAGTGTGTACAGTGGGTGGATGAAGCTAAACTAAACCAAATGAGGCGGGAAGGCATTCGTTACGCTAGAATTCAGCTGTGTGACAATGATATTTACTTCATCCCTAGAAATGTCATTCATCAGTTCAAAACAGTGTCAGCAGTGTGCAGCTTAGCTTGGCATATAAGGCTTAAACAGTACCACCCTGTTGTGGAAGCCACTCAAAACACAGAAAGCAGTTCTACCATGGACTGTGATTTAACTGGAAAGCAAGAATTAGAAGTTGACTCCCAGTGTGTGAGGGTAAAAACTGAATCTGAAGAAACATGCAGAGAGATGCAGCTTTTGACAACTGCTTCATCGTCCTTCCCTTCATCGGAACTTAAACTACAGCAAGATCAGATGACTCAGCCTGTCCCAGTTTTAAAGGTGGAAAGTAGACTGGACTCTGACCAGCAACACAACCTACAGGAACATTCGAGCACTCCTGTGTGATATGTACATATTCAAACACATTTTTTAACTTTTTTAAATTTTGATGTGAAGTTATAGTTTTATAACTGGCTTAAGTTAAGTTTTATTGGAGAAATCTTGCCTATAATTCTATAAAGAGAAATGACATTCCACAAATGTCAAGCATATCTTTTTTACACAGATTATGCAAAGTTAAGAGTTGTATCTTATCCCGTTAGTACAGTATGTAATAGTGGGTCTGCTGCTACTTTCTGTTTTAAGGTGTGAGGTAACAATTCAATCTCTTCTTCAAATCAAACAGAATTCTCTGGAATAACAGATTCTTATTTGGTAAATTATTCACTTCCCTTAATTTTATCTTGCCTTGTCTCTTGCCATATTTGCTGTTTTATGATAGAAGATCAGATTTATGCTTTGGTACTTGTGTCTTTATGGCACGGATTCAGTTTCTACAGTAAAAATGGCAAAAGTTGCAGGAAAGAGTTCTTGCATCTTGTTCATGGGCAAGTAAGTTCCAACTGCAAAGAACAGGTAGTTTCTAAGGAAAATTCAGTGGCTCTCTGGTTTCTTAACAAAAGAGAAAGCACAGCACTTTCTGATCCAAACTGTCTTTTTTGTATCTGTTATTTAAAGCCCAGTGGATATTTCAATTAAAAATATCTAAAGATGCATAGTCCTTGGTCATTCATTATCCATGGTTCATTAATCTCTTCTAGAATACATGGTAACTATGGAAGATAATTGGGTAAAAGAGATAATGTTGACATGATACTCTATCATTCTGCTACCTAGCATCCTCACACTTTGGATACTTTTGCTTCCTAAATTGATCACGAGTATCAAATTTAGAGAATGATATCAGTCTTTCTGATGAGGCTGCCATATTTTGTGCATGAAACTTAGGAAAAACTTTTTGTCACTTGGCATCAACTTCTTCATGATAAAGATCTGTTGAGACACTTCAATTCACAGTTTTAACTGGTGAATACTTGGGTTTATTTACTATTATTCTGTGTTGCTATGGTCTAATAAAGAATATGGCACTAGACTTCATCCTAGAGTTTCAGGTAACCTACTGCTTAGTGCCTGAGTATTTAAATTTTTTTTCCCCCCCCCAAACAGGCACAGTTCATATAGCTGGTGTAGTCTTAACTTTCTATTATTTTAGAATGTTAACACGATACACATTTCACTTTCTCTTAGTTAATAATACAATAGGCCTTTTGTTCATTAAAGGAAGAGTATTCCCCACACCTAAGACCAGATTCTTGTATCTACCTGGTTATTGTGCAATTCGGAGATTTTTTTTTCCTGGAGGGTGAGATTTGGAATATTTACAGTTAACATAGGCAAAAAAAAGATGCTGCTTTATTATGTCTGTCACCATGAAAACTTAGCTGCATCTTTTGAAATATCAAATATGAATTTTCTCTAAAATATTCTGAAATAGGCTAAATCTTATATAAATATTACTTTGTGCAATATTGTTGTGTAGTTAAATGCATATTAGCAAAGTATAGAGGTCACTGTGTAAACCGATAGAAAAGTAACCATCAGCAAATACTGCAGTGATTAGTTAGAATCTGTATTATTCCTTATATATATGTATATGTATGTATTCTCTGTTACAAAGGATGAAGACAAATAGAGAAACATTTCAATGTAAACCATTTATGAATTGGAAGTGATGTTGGTTTTAGTTATCTTTGTAAATAAGGTAATTAGAATGGTATGAAAAGTAATGTGATTATTGCAGGGGTGTTTTAAAATCTTGGGTATAAATTCTAGGGTAAATTCTAGTTTATCAAGACTAGTTTTTAAAGGGACCTGCCTTTGAGGGTGTTTTTTCTTATTTTGGAGGGGGGGAGGTTCATCACAAAAGTATATGGATTGGGTTTTCTTGTTTTTGTTTTTCTGTCCAGAAGAATTTCATAGAGCTTTACTAGGCTGTGCAAAGTAGAATTCTTCTCAGGCAACATTTGCTTTTTAAAATAATCATGAAGAACAAGGTTGTTAAAGCAAAAACTTTTTTTATTTTTATTTTCTTGTCTTCCAAGATCCGATTTCCCCATCTCCCACTTGCCATCCAGCAGATGCCATCTGTCATCTAAGCTGGTCATTACTAATAAACAAGGAGACTGTCTCCTGACAGCCAGCACTGTGTATAATCACTCAGGAACCAGCGGATCTGCAAAGACCTACAATCAAAAGCAAATCCCCATTTCCCTTTTATAAAACATTTCTACCCTCACCTCCAATATAAACACATTAAAAGAGTATACAAATGTTTAAAATCATGTACTAATAAATTAATTGTATGTTAGAATTGCAATAGAATGGAGAGAGAAACATTTAGCTAGTAATGTATCTGGAAACTGAATGTCCTATGTGAGTATTAGATTTAATAGCATGCTTTAAAGACTGATGAATATAAAAGCTCAAGTTTTGAGTTTCCTTACTGCTTTCAAAGTTGTATCCTAGTTTAGTGATACAAATGATTGCAATTTTTCTAAATCTTGAAATTATTTGGTTTGGTGGAGTGAGGCATGGAGCAATCTGGCGTCTTCTGATTTGTAAAGTAGTGATGGCAGTGAAGTTGTATCTGAAATTTAAGCTGATCTTCCTTTTTGGTATATTATCTGTTGTGCCAACTCTTTGAGATTACTTGCAGAATGTGGCTGTAAGTTTGAGTATTTTGTGGAGCAGAGGGATCTTTTAAAAATGTGCTTATGGAAAGGACCCAATAAATGAATATTCCTAACTTAGTAACTAGAATGATTTTATGGTATTCATAAATAAGGATAAAAGTCTTCCCCCTGCCCCAGAAGTCATTCTGTAATTACCAAGATATGCTAGGAGTAGGATTATGATTCAGAGGTATCCCAAATTCATAAAGCAATAATAATAAAAACGTACATATTAGTTTTCCCCTCCAAAGTTTTAACTCTTTAAAAATGAATTCCTAAGCTTAATTGTACTTTTAATTTGCTTATTCAGTACTTAGAATTTGTTTCACTGGTACTTTATTATTTTTAATTAAAAACTTGAAAGGTGCCCTTTCCCCTTGGAGACAGATGGAATATCGGTTGACAGGTATTACAAGCTCTTGTAGGGGGAAAATGGAGCTTGTTTAATAAAATCCTTTACCAAACCTTAGGAAAAGAGGTCTTGCAACATCTTGCATCAGTCTTAATAGGCATAAAGTTCACACTTAATGCCTGGAGAAACTTTTGCTTATTGCCTTTCCCTCTATAAATAGTGTCTAGAATGAAAACTAATTTAGAAATGAGACTCCAAGATTCAAGAAACCCTTAGTGAATATATTCTTGATGATTAATATTAGCCCATTATATTTTCATCTGTATTTGCCATTAAAGCTTATTTGCATTTATACCTTTAGGATAATTGAGTTTGTGTCTTTCTAATCTATTTTGTCATTGCTACAGGTTTAAAAAAAAAAGAGCCTTTCACTAGTACATGGCAGAAATTCATATTTCTGCTAAGTTTTTTTTTTTTTTTAAACAAGTTGTAGCTGTATTTATTGGTCATGCAGTAAGTAGAGGAAATGTACAGGACAAATGTTTTTCTTTAGCACATAAGGGACCTATCCTCATCCTGAAAGTTTGTTGCTTTAAAAGCAAGTATCTCCATAAATATTATGGCCTTCCATTTTCTTCATAAATTTTTTATGATCCACTTGTGCATGTAGTTGAGACCACTGTCTCTTAATATAGCACTTTTCAATTCTCTAAAGAAATACTTATGTACTACTTCTATCACATGTTGTAAATTTTCATGTAATAGTGTTTTCTGTGACTAAACTCCATTTTGATTGGCAGCTAAGACTTTTTTTTTTTTTTTCCTGTGGCTTTAATTTATCTAAGAGGTCTTTGCATATAGATGAAATGTGTAATTTGCCTGGCGGACTATTTGCGTTGTGTGGCCTTAGTTTGTTTATTGACATTAACGAGTGTTTTAAAAAGGTTTTTAATGAATAGTCTTAAATCTAAATTTGTGTGAATAATAATCCTTTTAACACAGTGCTTTTTGTAGCTGTCTAAGTGTGTTAAATTGTTAAGCTATTTCTTTGTAAAATAGGATAATGGAATGCATAGAGGTTTTTTTTTTTCCCTGTAAAGTATTTTTTTAATAAACAAAAGTCTGATTTGTCCTTTACTTCTGTTTCATGAGAAAATGAATAGTACATGTGAATTCTAGGTACCTGGAACCTGTTTTTAAAGTATTAATCCCCCACTTTGTATGTCCCCTGTCATTTTCTAATCTTCTGGAAAATCTTGTGACTTTTCTTTCCTAAAGAAAGAAAAGGTCAGAGAAAGAAAGAAAAGGTCAGAGATAATGGGAAAATTCCATCATACGGAGATGCAACTAGTTTTTGGGAAGAAGAAAAGCTACACTTGGCATTTGTGGCACTTGGGCCCTCTGATGCTTATATCTACTTGAGAGGACAATCTTAAATTTTTAATCTGGTGATGTCCATATTTTTCAAAGTACATGCAAGCAAGCAGTGTTAATGAAGATGGTGAATAGACATTTTGGATGTCATTGATGTATTAAGTGACACAATGCAATGGGTTTTTTTCCCTCATGAATTTTCGTGTGAACCTTTCTTTGAGATACTTGCTAAGCCCTGATAGACCTTGGTTCTGATTAGGAAAAGAAAAGGACGGGAACTAATGTTCTCTGAGTAACTGCCACAGGCCAGGCACTTTCTAGGAGGGTATCTCATTTAATCTTCACAGCCCTTAGTATTTAGTAGGAAGATAATAAATACAGGCGAGAAAGCAGGCTTGTTAGGTTGAATAAATTGCCTCAGATCACACAGTTCTTTAATTGGGGCAGGGATTTGAATGCAGTTCTTGGTTCAAAGCCCATGCAGTGTTGTGGCAGCCTTAGAATAAAGGACTGAAAACTTGGTAAAAAGGGGCACCTGGAAGATGATTTGCTACTTCCTACTATTCCATAATGCAACTTACCTGATTTCAATTCTAACATGAATTCCCCCCAAAGTCTCTGTGCGCTAAGCAATGAAGTAAAATGCTCGTAATTTATGTCTTAAAGCAAATATTTAGATACACAATGACGACTTTTTCATTCGTCATTTATCCGTTTGTTTTTTTTTCACGTTGGCCATTTGTCCTGAAACCCAACAGAATTAAGGGGAAAAGCTGTCAGGAAGCAAAATCAGAAGTGTGCAATATAAAAATAAATCAGGCCTGAGTGAAATAATTTTTAGTTCTGTGCGAGTTACTTCTTAGTGGCTTTTTCCTTGTCAGTGAAATGGGACAACTTCACCTTACCCCGATTTAATAGTTAAGAAATGCTCTTAAAACTTAGAATCGCATTTCTTAGGCTTTCTGAAGTGGTAGCTGGTGTAACGATGATCTGTCACTAGCTTTATCGGACTCAAATGCTATGTGCAAGCAAGGACACCGCTTCGAGTGGAGTGGGAATGGCCGTTGGGGGCCAGTGTTCCATCAATGGCCAAAAAACCCCCCGTGCAGTAGAGAGGAGGAAAGCAGCTTAAAACCGTACTAAGGTATTCTTAAATACTCGCTTTAGGGCGCAACCATTCTATTCTCCTGACCCCTGTCAGCCTGCTTGAGTTCTTAACCTAGGAACAGTTCTTCCCGCCGCCACCTTCTATCCTGATTTGCGAAAAGCGCCCTGGAACTGCCCCAAGCCGTCCCTCCTCTTCCCTTGGCGTCGAGCACCCAGAAAGCTTCAATCTCAGAGCTGTTGGGGGGCGGGAGAGGAAGCCGATCACTAAGCCGCAGCGCACCTCGCCCTTCGTCCCAGGACGGCGTAAATTCAGGAGAACATCCGTTCATTCAGCCAAGACTGAGAACCTATGTGCCAGGCTCCTGCCAGGCGCCAGGCTCTGACCTCGCGGAGCCCACAGCCCTTTGGGGAAGACGGGTAGTAACTAATGAAGCACAAAGAAACCTGTAAAACAAAGAAAAGTGTTACAAAGGATTGAACGGGGAGCTATAATAAGAACAGGACCGCCCCCCTTTAGATCGATGGCTGGGAAAGTCACTCCTGCGGACGCGACCTGGAGGTTGATCGGAGGGAGCTCCCTTGGCCTTGAGTAGCCGCTCGAGTAGCTCCGAGGCCCTCCCTCGCCGCGCCTGCCTAACGCTCGGCGGCCAGGCCCGGGCGGGGGCGGAGCCAGCTGAGCAGCAAAACCCGGAAAGCGGAAGCCGCCGCGGGGCTGCGCCCTGGTCTGCGGCGCTGCCCTCGCCCAGCCCTCGGCCGCCTGAGTCACGGCCCGCCGGCCGGCCCGGCCCAGCAGGACGCCCGCCCGCCGCCCCGCAGCCGCTGCCTCCCGCGCGGGGGGGGCCTTCGGCCTTCACCCGAACAGCGGGGCACTGAGCCTCTGGCCATTGCCGGAGCCACTGGCGGCTCGCGAAGACGCCCTTCAGTTTTTATCCCCTCCTCTCCCAGTTCATTCTTGGCTGCTCGGGGTGGGGAGCGGTCCGTCCGGTGACCCTGTAGGTCGGGCTTGGAGGGCGCCGGCTCTGCGGCAACAGACTGCGCTCCTCTGGGCGCTGGGCGGCCCGCTGCCTCCGAGGCCCGGGCGACCTCCGCGGTCTCCATGGTAACGGCCGCGCCGGCGTCTCGGCCTCGGGGGGAAGATGCGGCCTGCGGGGCGCGCTGTCTCGCCCCCGACCTCATGGCGGGGCCGGGGCCACTGAGGAGGAGGGTCCCGGCCGCCGGACTGCGGGGCAGCGGGCACCAGGTGAGAGCCGGACGCCGGGGAGCGGAGGAGGGGGGTGCAGCTCAGCCTCCAGCCACCAGCGCGTCCCCTCCCCTGCTTCCCTGTAACACGCTCGCACCGAATATCGCAGAGAGGCTTCTCGGGGCGCCACTGCGCCAGAGGTGTTTGGTTTGCTTCTGTTTTTGTCTTTTTTTTTTCCTGGCAAAGAGCCGGAGAGAGACAGTCAGCAGCTCATGGAGAGGCTGAGAGAAGCGATTTTTGCGTTCTCCCCAAACTGGGAGAGTACCTTTCAACAACCGGACTCACCGACTGGTTTTCCTTCATTTTCAGTGAAATCCCATTCTCAGCCTGGAGACGCAGATGGCCTCAAATGAGAGAGATGCTATATCGTGGTACCAAAAGAAGGTAATACCAATCTTTTTTATTTGTAAAGCATAGTTCCTGCAAAAAGCTCCCGCAAAGACTATCCTGCTAGTTTTCCCTGAGCCTGGTAGTGCCAGGTCTCTCACCTTAGATGGAAAACCGATGCACAAGGTCATTAGGTCTTTTAAACTCAGCTCCAGGTCCCCGAGTAAGATTTTCTAGTCCCCCCGCCTTCTCCAGGCTGCATCACACAATGCCACAGCAACGCTTTGAAAGTTTGCTTCTGATCAAACTGCTGTTGTTTTTTTTTTAGACCTGAAACTTTTATCTTCACAGCTCAGATTGGTACTGTCAACAATCTTACTGAGCTGCCCGTTACCTTTTATTCCTCTCTAGTTTTCCTACTGATGTTTTCCTTACGAAGTGGAAGTATCTTGTAAGGTAATAATTTGAAATATTTTGGACATTGCTTTTTAGCTTACTTTTAGATCCAGCTACTTTAGAATTTTGAAGGAAACAGCCCTTGGAAGTAATCATTTATTCTAACCTCTGAGAAGCATAATCATTTTCCAGGTATCATAGTGATACTTAATAGTTTCATGACTTTTGTGAGATTTGACCTAAATAGAAGGATTTTCCTTTGCATTATTTAAATAGCCTGCTCCCTATTTCAGATTGGAGCATATGATCAGCAGATATGGGAAAAGTCAATCGAACAGACTCAGATTAAGGTAAATTGATTTCTTTGATTCTAGCTTTGTTTTACTGAATTAATGTGAAGAGTGGTTGTACTTTTTATAAAATCTGCGCTTATCCACCAAGTATGGATATTCTTTATTCTTTGACGTTTATAAGGAAGACAACACTGCAAGCAGAATGACAAATGACAATTGACATTTGGCGTCAGTATCAGGGAAATAGAAAGGAGTGGTTGGTCTATGATGAATTAGAAAGCAAATGTCCCCTATAAAGGGGGCTGTGGCTTCTTATGCTGGCAATGCAGCCCCAGGACTGCCAGAGCCTCAGAGTTTTCAAGAGAAGCTGGGAAGATGCATTTTTATGTGAAATATCCAGATTTTTTAGAGCGTCTTCCCTTTTCCTGCCTTTCCTCTACCTCCTCTCCCACCTCATTCTCCTCTTCTTTTTTCTTTCTTCTCCTTTTTCTCTTCCTGCGCAAGCCAAATCAAATCCATTTGTGGCCTGAATCACTTTTTCAATTACTGGTTTAGAGTATGGTTTTAAGTTCTCAGGTTCTTAAACTTTTTTCTACACTGCTTTTAGAACCGTGCAGATTCTTAGGGTAATTTCATGTTAACCAACCAAAAAGTGACATGGATTCAGAATGCCAGTTTATTAATTTATAATAGCAGAGGGGAGGGTTAAATAACCTAATGTTCCAAAGTCAGGGTTGGAACATTACTCAACATGTACTGGAGGAGATGGGAGGGTGGTGCAAATTAGTCATGGGAAGGTTGCTTGGTAGTCAAATGTAATCAGATAGTCTTGACAGGTGTAGAAAAGCCTAAAGGACCATCTCTGCCCCTAAAAGAATGTCTCTCTATATTGACTTTAATACCTAGATCAACAGATTCAGGGTCTCACTTCCTTGGAATGTGCTGAATAATGGCTGGCAGATTCTTGTTTTGGACCTTGCTATTTTAAAGATTTGCTGCAGACCCTTTCTGAACACTTAGTAATATATTTTTTTTAAGTGTTCAGAAAGGGTCTGCAGCAAATCTTTAATAATTTAATAGTTCTGTTTATCTCTAAGTCACATTCATTGGACTGGGATGTTTAAATCTCGGGTGAAATACATTTATCCAACACTTGTAGGGTGCATGCTTTTTATAGGCTAATCAACTGGCAAGTTGTTGGAACTACATGGTACATGGCTAACTTTCACAATTTTGTACAGTCCTTGATTTTTCTATGTTAAAGACATGGGGTAGGATGAATAACACCCCAGATTTTATTTTGGAACTCTCTAAATCCTGTTCTGTTAGTTGCTGTAAAGTACTGATAGTAAGTAAGGTATAATGGAAAGAGCATAGAACTGGGAGTTAGATCTTCTTTTTGTGATCCCTAGCCTTGTGATCTTGAGCAGCACTGTAGTTTTCCTGGGTTTGGTTTCCTTATCCTTAAAAAGAATTTATTTACTGCTATAAAATTGCCTTACCTACCTTCTTCCCCTGCCCAACTAAAGATATTCTCATCTCTTAATTTCATTCCATTTTATGCATACCTTCCTTTTAGTATACCATATCAAAGTTACTTGTTAACCTGTGCATCTTCATAGGCCTCAAAGGTAGGAATTGTGTTTGCATTACCTTCTTAGAACATCTTGATTCATACTAGGAACTCAGTGTCTGTTGCTGTGTTTAACACCATCTATTATGTCTTTTTATTCATTGTTCTGTCATAAGGTAATCTACCTAATTATTCCTTAATGTATACTTTTAATTTAGCAGCAGTGGAAAGAATAAAAGACAACTCTAAAACTTTTGCTGAGCTGATGTACCAACATGTTCTAGGTGCTAAGAATACAGTAAACAAGAGACACTTGAATTTCACAGTCTAATGGTGGTGGGAGAAAAGCCAAGATATCTTTTTATTTTTTAATTTTTTAAAAAGATTTTATTTATTTATTTGACAGAGACACAGCGAAAGAGGGAACACAAGCAGGGGGAGTGGGAGAGGGAGAAACAGACTCCCCGCTGAACAGGGAGCCCGATGCAGGGCTCGATCCCAGGATCCTAGGATCATGACCTGAGCCAAAGGCAGACGGCTAATGACTGAGCCACCCAGGCGCCCCCCAAGATATCTTTTTAAGTATGTTTAACTCTTAGACAAAAATTGACCAAAGTATAGGGTACAAACTATTTAGTGCAGTTTAAAAATAGATTATACAAATATAAATATTTTTTAACAAAAAATTAAAGAAAATTAAAAATAATGAGCAATATCAACATCAGATCACCATACAATAAAATTAGAAATTATGTAATAAAAATATAATTTGAGGCAAGAATGTACAATGGGGAAAAGACCGTCTCTTCAGGGCTCAACATCACTCATCATCAAAACCACAATGAGATGTCACCTCATACCAGTCAGAATGGCTAAACTCAAAAACACAAGAAATAACAAGTACTGGTGAGAATATGAAGGAAAAGGAAACCTTGTGCACTGTTGGTGGGAATGTAAATTGGTGCAGCCGCTGTGGAAAACAGTAAGGAAGTTGCTCAAAGAATTAAAAATAGAATTACCATATGACCTAGTAATCTACTACTGGGTATTTACCTAAAGAAAACAAAAACACTACTTCAAAAGGATATCTGCACCCCTATGTTTATTGCAGCATCATTGACAATAGCCAAGATACAGAAGCAACCTAAGTGTCCATCAGTAGATGAATGGATAAAGAAGTGGTGTGTGTATGTGTGTGTGTATATACACACACACACACACACACATAAAATGGAATATTACTCAGCCATAAAAAAGAATGAGATCTTGCCATATGCAACAACTTGGATGGGCCTAGAGGGTATAATGTTGAGTGAAATGAGTCAGACAAAGACAAATACCATATGATTTCACTCATATGTGGAATTCGTGAAACAAAAAAAATGAATAAACAAAAAAGGAGACAAAACAGACTTTTAAATACAGAGAACAAACTGGTGGTTGCCAGAAGGGAAGTGGATGTTGATGGATGGGTGAAATAGATCAAAGGGATTAAGAGGATACTTACTGTAATAAGTAACATATAGAATTGTTGAATCATCATATTGTACACCTGAAACTGTATGTTAATTATACTTCAATAAATAATAAAACAGAAGGTGTTACCACTGGAAAGAGAAAAATTTGCAAATGTGAGGACATGGGAATAAAACATAGCAATTGCTTCAATTAAAAAATATAATTCAAAATTATAAAAGATGTAAACTTTAAAAATCTTAACTATGAGTATGAAAAGTGATGTGAACTCTTCCACAAATGTTTCTTGAGCTACTGTGTTTAAGGATTTTGCTAGATGCTGAGCACAAGGGGAAAAGTACTTATAAACAGAAGTATAATACTTGTTTAAGAAAAGAACAAATAGCCCTATCTGTATCTGATTGGAGTATAAGGTATATAGGTGAGATGATAGGCCATGTATCAGTTTGGAGCTGATTTGACTGCTTCACTAAGAACTTTTGATATTATTCTATAGAAAATGGAAACATTTTCATGGTTTTTGAATAGGGAGGCCACATGGTGTTTGTGTTTTTGAAGGATAGAAGGACAGACATTATAACAAAATCTATGGAATGTTTCTGAAGTAATACTTGATGAAATTATATCACTCTAAATGTCTATATGAACAAAAAATGTCTAGATTGACTAGGCAGAAAGAGTTACAGTGATTCAAGTTAATATATGAAGAATCTAGAGAAAGAAAATAATTCCAAGTAAAGAAGGGAAAGAAATACCAAAAATAAAACTAAAGCAATCATTATGTACTTTTCTTTTTTTTTTTTTTTTAAGGTTTTATTTATTTGACAGAGAGAAAGACAGCCAGAGAGGGAACACAAGCAGGGGGAGTGGGAGAGGGAGAAGTAGGCTTCCCGTGGAGCAGGGAGCCTGATGCGGGGCTTGATCCCAGGACCCTGGGATCATGACTTGAGCTGAAGGCAGATGCTTAACTGACTGAGCCACCCAGGCGCCCCAATCATTATGTATTTTTCAATTGCCAAGTATTTGCTGAGCTCCTACCTACCACGTGTCAGGTAGTAGGCTAGGCACTAATGTCTACATAGTGATGAGCAAAAACACTCAATATTTTTCTTTTCCTGGAGCTTAAAGTAAATTGGGAGAGAAACAATAATAAAAATCCTATTAATGAATAAAATTTATTTATTTTTACAAGAAGAAGAGCTTATTTACAAGCCATTACAGTTATAACAAGGGAAATGGACTTAGTCAAGGAGGTCAGAGAAGCCTTCCCTGAGGAACTGATACTTAAATGAGATCTGAAGGATGAATAGCAGTTAATTAAGTCAAGAACAAATACGCTAATCCTCCACAAACTCTTTCAGAAAACAGAGGAGGAAGTACACTTCCCAACTCTTTTTTTTTTTTTAAAGATTTTATTTATTTATTTGACAGAGAGAGACACAGTGAGAGAGGGAACACAAGCAGGGGGAGTGGGAGAGGGAGAAGCAGGCTTCCCGCTGAGCAGGGAGCCTGATGCGGGGCTCGATTCCAGGACCCTGGGATCATGACCTGAGCCGTAGGCAGACGCTTAACGACTGAGCCACCCAGGCGCCCCTTCCCAAGTCATTTTATGAGATCAGTATTATCCTGATTCCAAAGCCAGACAAAGACATCACAAGAAAAATCGTTGTGAACATAGGTGTGAAATCTTTGAGAAAATATTAGCAAACCAAATTCAACAACATATAAAATGGATTATCTACTGTGACCAAGTGGGGTTTATCCTAGGAATGCAATGTTGGTTTAGCATTTGAAAATAAATTAATGTAATATACCATGTTGATAGAATAAAGGACAAAACTGCATGATCTTCTCATTAGAAACAAAAGCATTTGACAGAATTTAATGCCCATTAACAATAAAATAGAAATAAACAGTAATTTCCTCAATCTGTCAAAGGGTGTCTACAAAAAATCTATAGCTATAGGTTAGGATTTACTTCAGAATATCCATCCCACTGAAAAATGAA